AAAAAAAAAAAAAAAAAAAAAAAAAAAAAAAAAAAAAAAAAAAAAAAAAAAAACGCCCCTCTTTGTGACTTTCATGAAAGTTGAGTCAACAGCTTATGATTAATAAACTTAGATTTGTTATATATACATATGCATGTATATATACTTATATGAGGGTATTTTATGGTCGAGCTCTCGACATAAACAATTTGGGGTTTTTTCTCTTTGCCCAGAATCTTTCGCTGTTCATTTCTTGTTATTGCTGTCTGTATGTATAAGTTGTATATATATTTGTAGCATTTTGTATGGTTGGGTCTGCGCTTTTGGATGCTGCGTATGCTAAAATCTGGATTCGTACTCAAAAGTTTGGCATCTGTGTGCGTGCGTGACCTATTTAAAGATTTTGAGCTTCTTTTAGCGTTGATTTTAATGCGTATTCAGCTCGTTGAGGGGGGAAATACACATAAGTCTTAAAAGCAAGAATATATGTATAGCTACTCATATCGGAAGCTTAGTATACATATGTATGTATGCATATGCTAAATATAATATATCACAATTAACTTCATATGATATATGCGTGGTTTTTTCTTGATTTATGAGCTTATAATAAACAATTTGTAATACATTTGCATTTACATGTTTATACACTAGAAACACATCAGACGAATGACAATTAGCATACATTTGCTAAACAATAAATTAACAAATTATAAAAACAAAGTTGCATAAATCGTTATGAACACATTAAATATCCATAGAGATCGCAATAAATTCTAGATAATCGCATTGAATGACGGCAATAAACTTTAATTTATAAATTATAAGTTCTCAAGCGAAATGCTATGCATATATATTATATGTATCCTTATGTTAATTTCTTCATCATTACCCTTGCAATGGTAAAATTTTATGAGTATTTCTAGGTCTGACTGGCGTAGAAACTAGAGATATTGTAATGTGCTCCTGACTTCTCTGGAGTTTCGCTCAACTGTTCAAATAGAAATATATTCATAGGCACACATATAGAGCTACTAGAGGCGTGGCAAATTGGGAAAACTATATTTGAGCCAGTATGGAAATCAATAAATTCTCTATATATAGAATAGACATCTATAATTTTTTGCAAAACAGGAAAATTTGAACAGTCAAACAATACATTGAATGAGTATAAATAATATATTGATGATATAGGCATAACTCAATGATAATTGCGATAAATAGGAAACATTTATCTTTAACTTTAAAGATACCTATATAAGTATATATGAAAGATATCAAGCTCTAGCAAAATACTTAACTGTCTTTCAACTATAATTCACTAAATAATTATATGTATATAAGTAAAATTTATTTGTTTGCTAACCATATTTCTAGTTAATTTTTTCTGAAAATTTATAGTCTTTCATAGCTTTCAATTTGTGCATTGACCTTGAATTGAGCTGCATTAGAGACTAGATAATAGCTTAACTACCGGGCATAGCTAACAATGTAATATATAGATGTCTAAGATTAATCGACGACAAATTGAGGAATCGAAATGTGAAAACGATACGAAAATGTTCATTATTATAATCGTTGCTATAATAATAATGCTAATAAATATGCATGAAAAATGTTTCGCTAGGCTCCGACGCAACGTGAAATGGTTTTTTGATTTCTTGTTGTTTTTGTTTATCGTAAATGTTCCGAACGATAAAACTTTCACCTACAAATCAGACACTAAACGAATTTCGTATATGATGATGAAGAAGAAGAAGAAGAAGCAGCACAAAAAAAACACCAAAGAAAGTTTAGAAGTTTTTAATCGTCAGAAGCAACAATTCGAGACAAAGAAAGATGGAAAGAAAGAAAGAGAGAGAGAGTGGGCGAGCGAGAGCAAGATAGAACAATAGGAGAGGTTAAAGAAGCAGAAGAAGAAGAGCGAAGAAACATCAGCTATTCTGAGCTGAGGCGGCCCACTCATTTGGTTTATGGCTTATTAAACTTTTTTTATGGTTTTTAATCAAAAGACAAGCTATTAAAAAATTGTATGCCCATCAAAAGCTGACATACGTATACGAACTGCCCGATCCCATATAGTTGTAAGCCTTACAGATTTTTAATGGCTTACTGGGCGGCTTATCAGCGCGCCTAATTGGCCATTGAAATCACAGATCTGGTGATACTTGGAGGCGACGGGCTCATCAAACCAATCGAACATAATTCCTTCTATATGTATGTGTTAATTGAACCTAAATCGGAATTGGAATCTGAATCTGTAGCTGAGACTGCGTGACGTTTTAATGGCCATTGTCACACTCTAAGCGTTTAATGCTGCACATCCTGCATAATCAGATGTGAGTGATGAGAAAAGAAAGTTTGCCAATAATAGCGATGCGAAAAGAAATGGCTAATTAATGCAAGTGAAAGTGGGCAGAGCGAAATAATGGCCAGGAGTCTGTGTAATGAGGATGGCAAAACAACAAATTTAATGCGTAAGCGAAAAAAATTGAATAAAGAAAAATGATGAAAACAAAATAATAATAATCAGTGAAGTGAATGCCATAAAGTCCATATGATGTTAATCAATATTGATATGGATACAGATGTGGCGGGGACTGGAGATGACGATGCAGATGTCGATAGATGTGAATGAAGGCAATGATATAGTTATACTTATGTATATAGATAGAGATAGGAAACAGGAAGGGAAGTAGGAGATAGGATATATATGAGATAGGAGATATATGAGATAGGAGGGGATAGGAGATAGGAGATAGGAGATAGGAGATATGAGTTAGGAGATAGGAGATAGGAGAAAGAGATAGGAGATACGAGAGAAGAGATAGGAGATAGGAGATATGAGATAGGAGATAGGAGATAAGAGATAGGAGATAGGAGATAGGAGATAGGAGATA